GGCGTAATTTGTCATATACCGAACGAGACTTCTGTATCCGTGCTGAGATATCCTCATCGACCAAACCACTGGCACTAGCTGATGCAACTTCCCAAATAAGTGAAGTGGTCAACACGCTCAACCACCACTTCACTCCTACCTATCTTTAAGCTAAGATTATTCTATGTAGCCCAGTTCTGTAGCCTCATCATCTCACATTTTGAGGGAGCGAATCGCATGTCAAACATTTGCTGATGGCTGCTCCTCAAGGTGTTCAGAAGACTCTGCATTATTTCAGCGTCTTCACCCAGGTGGGAGGACTATGTCATCTATGTATTCTAATTCAACGAAATTATCCCCTGGTAACAAGTCTTCAATCTGTGAGTCGCTGAAGTCAGTTAGGGTTAAGTCCCTCAGTACATTTATGATGAAATTAAATAGAAATGGAGATGGTGGTGGGCATCCTTAACGGACACCACTAGTTGTCATCACTTCAGGTGACTTCAGGATATGAAACATAATAATGCAAATGGGGACTAAAAACGAAGTATTAGAAACAAACAGGAAGATTTGATAAGAAATCTGTAATAGGATAATCACTATCGGGAGAATTGACTGTTTATAACGGCTATGGTAGAGTCAAAGGTTTGATGTATTTCTTTTGAATGCATAGTGTGGGCTTGAACTTTTAGATCACCAGTGCATCAGCTATGCTTAGATGCCTTGATCTCACTCACTTTGACATGTTTGATCGAGCCTTTTATATGACTTTAAAGGACTTTTCTAATGGAGGTGAATGCACTGAGTTCACCAGATGTTCTGTTACTGAACTACACAAACACTTGTGTTCTTCCTTTGCTATCCAGGCTAGATAATGTTTTCGAATGTGTTTTACAAGCGGATGCATGATGCGGTCAATGTACTCAGCTCCACAAGAGCGAGTGAGCTGTGGTATATGCATTCTGAAGTGGCTCAGTACCTACGTGTAATTTTATAATCGAATGGTGATAAAATCATTAGCGTTCAACCACACAATAAAATAGTAATAGGTAGTAACAGTCATCTAAACGTTAGTCCAATTTTTGTTCGAAGGTTTTTGTCACCTTATGGTTAGTTTGTCGTACACATAGTTTTCTCTTAAACTCTGTTTTCATGGTTGACTATGATCAAAACACCCACCCACTTCATAAGAGTCATTCACTAAGCTACCGAATTACATTATCGATTCACTCCTAAAATTCTTCTTTTCTTTTTTCATATATGTATATTGTCTCTCCATTGTTTTGTTGTTGTTTTTTTTAACTACTTATTGATTTCTGATTATTTTCATTAATTTCACAAGGTTAATTGAATCGAATCATACTAGTTTGTGTGCTTTTATAAATGCTCGTTAGTTGTACAATTCCACTTGTAATAACTACTTAATTAATATAGTCTATCTTTTTACGAGTTGATCACGGATTGATATCAGTTAGAGAAGCATTGAAAACCAGGGAGTACTGGACAGCTGCTGTTTCATCCTGGTTTGAGAGTCATCGTCAGTACGCACTTACTGGGATTCGAACCCGGAACTTTCCGGTTACAAGACGAGCTCGTATACCATTCAGCCACTGGGACCCGATTCAATGGCTCATGAAGAATTCTAATTTCTACCAATTCGTGATTTAGCGCGCCACCCCAGCCATTGTCGTAAGTGGGACATCCATCCACACACGTGACGTCTAATCGAACCTCACTGGTCACGACTTCTGACTAGAACTCCAGGAAACTCCATCCTGTAGTAAGTCACTAGCGAGCATCAGATTAATTTTCTATAGTTTGGTTTGTAAGGGTTAGTTATGTTTTTACGAGTTGATCACGGATTGATATCAGTTAGAGAAGCATTGAAAACCAGGGAGTACTGGACAGCCTCTGTTTCATCCTAGTTTGAGAATCATCGGCAGTACGCATCGTACATCGTATTAGAAACTAGTGATTTTGTAAAACCAATCTACCACCTTCAAATTACACAGTTCTAGGTGAAATTTCATCATCACAGTTTCTTTTGGATACGAAGACTATTTAAACTGCAGTATGTGATCTGCTTGATACTATAAACGACTAGTCAAAGCTTGTGTGGTTTGGACTGAGTTAAGCCTCCAAAGCCTCAGGATGGTCGGGGGTGGGTGCCTTGCGCTGCGGGTTGGCCACCTCTCCGTACACCTCTTGAAATGCTCCCATATGACCGGGCGTCTTACATAGCCTCTCCTGAGGAAGTCCTACTCACTGCCTTCACGCGGCGAGAGTGTTTTTCACCGAAGTGATAGGGCAAAAGCGGATGCCCGGCGCTCTTCACCGGGTTGACTGTTCATTGGATGACAGTCTAGGGGAGATGGCTAAACCCTGATTCCAAACCTCCAACGACTGGCGTATGAAGCTCACCGGAGCTCACCGGCAGACATATGGACAAAAGGCTTATTTGATGCCCTGGATGTCTGGCCCCATTCAAAAAGGCGTATGAACCGGACTCCAGTCACCGGCTACCAATGGATAGTGGACTCCCTACTCCACTCCTACTGCCTTGTAGGTCACACTTGGTTGTGTAAAGGCTAGAGCTGCACTCTCAAACAAAAGGCCGAGGGATGCTGGGGACATCACTCGTACCTAATTCCCATGAAACCTCATGAACTCTCTACAACATCAACCAAATTCCAGTACTGGTCCAACAACGTCGCCTTCGGTGGTTTGGCCATGTTCTGCGCCGACCAGATGACGATCTGGTCAAATCAGTTCTAAATCCCTCGCCATTTCCATCTTGGCGATGTCGCAGGGATGGACAGCTGAAAACATGGCTTGGTACAGTCAAGGCTGATATGGAGTGACTGGGGCTACAAACCGTCTACGGACTCCGTCTGTGGAACAAGAATTGGATAACCCTGTCGCAAAACCTTGCATCAGATCGCCGCGCCTGGGCAGCGATGATTCGAGATGTTCATGAAGCCGGCCCATCCTCCGTAGGAGATAGCCGAAGTAAAGTAAGTAAGACTGGGTACACTTTTGATGATGAACTCGGTCTCAATGATGTTCGACTATTCATGCTAGTCAATGAGTAGTATGTAGAGCCATTTTTCAGAGTAAACTCTTTTTGATTGGCTACTAGTAACCAGTGTGACATGTCTAGTCCTTTCTTTGGTGCAGACTGAATTCCATCAGTCAGGTTTGCAATGTGGCCATTATTCTAGGTAGCTCCCATCACGGTGCACGGTGTAACTAGTAACCTAACTGATAGAATTCAGTTTGCACCAAAGAGAGGACTAGACACGTCACACTAGTTACTAGTGTCCAATCGAAAAACCCACTACAATCGCGAGCTCGAATAGCTCAGTGGTAACGTCTCTGACTGCAGCACTGGGTGACGCGGGTTCGAATCTCAGAAGGGACATAAGTTCCTTCAAGATTGCAGATACGCTTTGCTGGTGAGTGCCAACTAACACGAAACCTAGGTCCAAGGCTTACTGACGATTGCCTCCAACTATCTAATATCATCAGACTAAACTCTGTTATATATATCCGGCTTAATAGCTTCATTACTCCAACTGCTAACCCTTAGTTCAATGACTACTCTATTTTTCTAGTGTTGTCAGTATAGCACTTTCAAGTAGTAAATAGAACAAGATCAGATCAAAGCTGAACTTATCTTTATTGAGACAAAATATGCTGGATGTTTAAAAAAATCATAATTTACAACTAATATCGTTTATTCGGTATTAAGCATGTTCTGTTTGTCTTTATTGTCGTGATTAGACTCTCCTCAGTGTTGTCACCTTCTCATTTATCATCTTCAATAGCTTTTCTGTTGGTATTATATCATGGCCTGGGAGATTTCTGGGTGGTTAAGGTCAATCCTCTGAGGAGCATCCCTCTGTGGGTTCGTACGTCACTCCCACCAGGTAGCTTTCTTTTTTTACGTCGGTGGTTAAATGGTAGGGTGCTTGTTATCAACGCACGTCTTCGATTCTAGGCTAACGCACTCCTAAACCTCACCTAACCAGTTAGCCTGGTAAAGAGGGAAATTCGGGCGTGAGATTAGCAATCCGACTCTGTAAAAAACATCGCTGTCTCACCTTAATTATGCAGTACATATTTGATATGATACAACGACAGTAAATGGATGGTGTTTCAACTTAATGCGTTTGTGATCATTTATAAATTATGTTTGAGACGTCATCCAGTATGACTCTCTGTGTGTGTGTGTGTGTGTGCACCATAGAGAAATAAATTCTTCCGTTACGGAGCCTATTGCTACTGCTGTTAGTTAGTCATTTTTTAGCGAAATTTTATACTACTTATATTTTGTTTAAGTAGATGAATTATAAATACAGCACAATTCCACATGAGAGAGAGTAATATTATAATAATCATGAATTAGCACAAAAATAAACTTACTTTACATTGAAGTAAGCGCTGAAGTTGTAGTCCAAAAGAAAAGTGTAAGCTCTGCAATTAAATCAACCAGCTTAGAGGATCTAAGTTTATCACCGAGTGTTTTGCATTTTGTCTAGACAATCATTTAACCAGCTCACTGATAGCCACTGAATTGATTTTCTGAAGCTGCAGTGGGAAATCGTGACTAGTGGTTTCCACCATGTCAGAGTGAATTAGATTCTCATCGAAAACATTGGTGATGGAAGCGCGCCATATTGCGAATTGACACAGTGAAAATTCAGGCGTCATTCATTTCCATTCTAAGTGGGTTGAATGGCCAACGACCTTAGTCTCGTAACCTGAAGGTTCAAGGTGTGGTCGTGAGTTCGCACCGTTGATGAGTCCCGAAATAGGACAAAGCAGCTGGTCGGCAGCCCTCTGGTTCTCAATGACTGATGCAACTGTTGTTGGTTCGTGGTGAGTATCTAAATTGGTGTAACTGACAATTTTCGCTAAGTTTTATTGGTTAAAATGTCTGTGTGAATAAATAGATATTCATATAACCCAATTATTCGATTTACACATTCATATCTCTTTCTGTGCCTTCTATTGTTAAGGAATATTATACAAATGATTTACTAGCTGGGAAACTTCTGCCATGTTTATCATTTCTTACAACTGATCCTGAAAAATCAATACGTGATGATACATTTCGTGCTATGCGTGGAATACTAGACAGATTAGAGCATGTAAGTCGTTGTTTTTTTTAACATTCATACTGTGTTGTGTTATGGTACATTATCGGGATCAATAGATGCGCCACACAGCATCTCGTCGCTTTTTCACTAGGGATGATAAACTACCTGGACACCCAGACCGAAGTTCGTTGTTGTTTTAGGGGACCATTCCACCCTTTTCGACCTTTGACAAGGCAGCAAAGCAGCATTCTCATAGTTGTCGGTGTCCGGAACCAGTTTCATATGGTATCCAATCATTTCGGACTTCGGAACCCATGTACACCGTAGGTTTGAATAGAATCAAGGTTTTCCACCTCCCCTAAGTGTAAACCAGTGTGGCCATCATTTCGGGTATATGCGCCGGATGTTCTCAATCAATTCGTTCATTCTTCTGAGGAACCCCTCCCCCACCGCATGGAAGCAGTGGATAGGACTTACTTCCACAAACTGGATGATATGCAAGTGAAAAGCAACAGGTTGGCAGAGGAAGCATCAAAGATACAACTTCCTTCAGGTGAACATAGAGAAAACAGAGGTAATGAAGATTCCTGGCCAACAGTGACAGTAACAAGAACAATCAGTATGAATGAGAGAAATTTGAAAGAAGCAACCTCCTTCACCTACCTACCTGGGAAGCATCGTTTCAACTACAAGCAGACGGAATTGATGAGGATATCAAAGCCAGGATCGTCGGGAAAGCAAGGCAAGCTTTCATTCCTCTCAAGTCTGTGTTGAGATCAACAGCACTCAGCACTAAAAATAAGATCGGGATTTTCAACTCCACTGTGAAGTCAATGCTATTATACGGATCAGAAACTTGGAGCCGTGCCGCGTCACGAAGGGCACTTCGAACAAACTACAGACCTTCATTAACTGTCTTCGCTCAAACTACTCAAGATCAGATGGCCAGAAAGATCAGAAATAGGCAGTCATCTCTAGCAATGAGCAAATCAACCCAGCAGGAAGCAATTGTGCAACAAGTATGCAGGAAGAAATGGAGGTGGACCGGTCATACTCTGAGAAAACAAACCGTCAAGTAACATCATACGCCGGGCCATAGGTCGAGTGGAACCTGAATAGGAAGCGGCAAGTTGGTTGTCAGTGCGAGGGTGACATGGAGAAGCATGTGGGCAGACGTGCAGCCCACAGTGGAGACGTTCGGCTGAAGCCCTATGTTCCTGTAGGAAAGAAATGAAACAATAATAATCCGTACCTAGAAAATGTCGTCTCAACTACAGACATCAACGACGAAGTGGATGTCGAAACCAGTCACGATTAGAAAGGCAAGACATACTTTCATCTATCAAAATTCTTCATTGTGAAAATCTCCTACACGAAGTGCAAAGAAGAAGATTTTGATATTCAACACTAATGTCAAGTTAGTTTGTACTTCTACATGGGTCAGAGACTTGACGAACGCATCATCGATAGCATTTTGAACAGGCCACTTCAAACTTTCATCAGCAACTGCCTTCTCTGACTCCATAGTGAAGATCAGATTATCAGCCGGAGAGAATTAGCAGCAAGAAGCTCCGACAATGCAACAAACCAACCAAGAACCTATTTATTACCTAACAAATGTATAGAAGAAAATGAAGATAGATCGAAAACACACTGAAGAGACAGTTGGGTGACGACACTGGGCATCAGACAGGTCATCGAGTGGATCATGAATACCAAACGACGAGCTAGTCGTCGGTCTGAAGGTCATATGGAGGAGGAGGAGGAGGAGGAGGAAATGAGAGCTTATGGGCAATCGTGGAGTCAGCTCTAAGGAAGATTGCAGAGAACACGATGAAATAAAGATGTGCTGTTGAAGCCCTATTAAATAATCACAATCTTTACAATCCAGTAAGATATAATATTGTATTGCTTTTACCTTATATTCTTTTGTCCAATATTGTTTATGGCTTTCTGTTTCTTTCTATGTGAAAGGCAAGTGAAAACAATACAATCAATCAGCCATCAGACAGTCAAACAACAGATATCAACGATCCTTCAAATCCTACTTCACGTCTCAGTACAACTGGTGTAGCTGCAGCTAGCGCTCTAACTCAATGGGCTTTATCTGCTTTATCTTTTTCTAGTCGTCTTTTACCAGCCTCATCCTCAGCCACTACTACCACTAATACTACTATAACCACAGAAAGTGTAACACAACCAACGAATAAACAAGAACCATCAATATCTAATTCCACATTTTTATCATCAATGAATAAAACTTCAAAAGTTATTGAAAAAGGGGATGAAAAATTATTTGGTAAAAAAGACAGTAAGTCCATGTTATCCTTTATTTTAGAATAAACTGTTACCTTTCTAATGTTGATGAACAGTACAAGTAGTATATTTGACCTCTGAAAGTGTACTTTATTATCACTACAGATTTTATCATAGAACTTTTTTGTAGTAACTTTCAGTGAGACTGACGACTCCCCCCCTGTCTGTTCTTCTCTCTGATGAATCTTTACTTCTGCCAAGAACCAAACACAACAACTGATCTTCTTAATATCTCATAAACCTGACTTATCACAAATCCTACTTAGATTTTTACGGTGTACGTAAAAATAAAGTTGATACCGATGTCCTTCTCAGAAAATGTTTAATATAGTCCACCCACCCCAACACAGAAAGAAAATACTTTATCATTTCCTGATGCCCTGCTAACAAGAAGGCAAGATGGCAGTACTAAACGAAGTATTTCCCGGGAAGAATCATGGATTGGCCCATTTCAGATCATTTGTCCCTCTTACATACATACATACGAAGTCTCCTCAATACTTTGATGTTTCATGATCGAGGGATCTGCACAACTGATGCTCTTGACGATGAGTTAAGCAAAATGGAGGACTTATTATGTGAGAACAGATATCCATAAAGATTTGTTAATGTCTCCTTGATGAGAGGACATAAAAAGAGACGCCCAAAAACTGTGCAAAAGAAACGCATATATATATACCGTTCATAGGAGACGCAACCACTGAATTACTCGCATTGAAACTCCGAAAGTTCCCAGTGGCTTAAGGGTCTACGAGCTCTCCTTGTAACCAGAAGGTCCTGAGTTCGAACCTCGGTGGGTGCATACTGATGAAGAGTCCCAAATTAGAATGAAACAGCTGTCCAGTAATCCCGGGTCTTTGCGTGCGTCGGTGTCATAGCGGTTAGGACGCTCACCGAACATGCACATGGTCCGGGGTTCAATTCCCGGCCGACGCACTCCTTTACGTGGCTAAGCCAGAAATAATGCTGGTATAGAGGAAAGGTTGGGCATGAAGCTGGCTAGCGACCCCATCCTGTAAAAATAAACACCACTGCTGCAGAAACTTCAAGCCACCAGCTTGAAGCCCTGTGTTCCACTGGGGAACGTGAAGAAAAAAACAACTCCTTAAAGCTAAAACATTCTTTTCCGCAACAATATGTTCACAATTTACCACTTATTGTATAATTACAAGTCGGCTGAACGATAAGCTACCGAGTCTGGCCACTTCATCAATGCGTACTCATAAATTTCACTGTTCTTTTAGAGACAATTAAATAGGTAGAACAACTCAGAGAGTCCACCATCGTCTTCTTGGGCACTGTTCAACGTGGTTAGGTAAAGAAGTCGTAAAGTCAACCAGGAGTTCCATACTGGCTCACCATGTGGATGGACATGGCTCACAAGATTGATAAAAATTCAACCTTTACAATTCTATAGAAGGTGCCAGCTCAGTCTCCTAAATTTCTACGATTTCGATTGCTAAGCATGATTGAGGCAGTCACTATAAGAAAATTTCAACTGAATCTCCGTGTCCAGAAGAAGTTTGTTCAATCTCACATCCTTCAACCCCATCCTAGAATAGTTATCTCTCCCCCATGACACAGGATACTTGTAAATACTACTTTCATTTGTACTGCTAACTTCATTATCAATATGACACTGTTCTATAGTTGCATATTATAATCCTTGTTTCTGGCTCGCTGACCGACTAGTTTCAATGTAGAACTTTGCACAGATGTGCAGCAGTTCCAGTTGCCACTCTCCTCTCTCTCCATGTAGCACACAAAGCAAGAGAAGAGAGCAAAGAGAATTTCAAAAGGCAGATAATAAAGAGAAGTGTGAGTGAGGCAAAAAGAATAGTAATACGTAAGAAGAGTGAAGAGTGAATGCATCTGCTCCGCTGACAACGATTTTGAGCCATATCACCATTTGTTTCCAGTCTCCGTTAGTTATCACCATTCCTAGGACCCTAAGCAGTCTACACCTCCCTACGCGGCTGGCTGAGACTAACTATTGTGAATTTCACTGACTGATCAAACCGTGTTGGTTTTGGTTTGACCACCACTAGCTTTCTCTTTTCCAGCCTGATCGATCCTATGTCAGCTAACATCGCCCATCGAACAAGGCGGTGAGTAGTAATTAGTAAAAAATGCCCCAATCATCTTAATCGATATAAACTTACAACTTCATCAATTGACCGCTAACTCCTTTCTAACCTGATCCTATGTCACCTGTCAAGTTATTACATTTAATTATTATCGCTATTGTTATCCACTAACTCACATCCCTGAACTTTGATCACACTTGATCCATATTGTTTCAAATGTCTATGATTGATATTTCATGATGTAATTGTAAAGCTTGATGAAAATTTACGGAAAATACGTATTCGCTTGCTTAAATCGTGTTCTATGATTGTCATAACTTTTTTTATTCCTTCACGTTCCCCAGTGGAACATAGGGCTTGAAGCTAGTGACTTGAAGTTTCTGTAGCAGTGTTTAATTTTACAGGATGGGGTTGCTAGTCTCATGCCCATCCCTTCCTCTTTACCGGGATTATCTCTGGCTTAGCGAGGTAAAGGAGTGCGTCTGTGGCCGGGGATCGAACCCCGGACTATGTGCATGGTCGGCGAGCGTCCTAACTCCTGTGCCACCGACACACATAATAATGGGAATATTTAAATTATATATGTATATTGCATTTTAATTCCTTCGTATTGTTCCTATCTCCTTTAGATTTGGATATTTCAAACAAATATCCCTCCTCAAATCCAACGTCAAATAAACCTCTTAGTTTGAAAAAGAATTTGAATTCATTAGACCTTGTAGATACTGACGATATTGACATCGATGATGGCGATGATTGGAATGTGGATTTCGATGGGGATGATAACGACGTTGTTGGCACCGAAAATGCTGGTGACAACAAGTCAACATTATTAAATGCACAATCAAGCAACAGAACATTAAATTCTGATCCGATTCCTCTTGTAGCCTCATCCTATTGGAATGAGAATCAATCAAGTCAAACGGCAAAATCAAAGCTTACTTCAGATTGGGATTCAGATTCATTTTTCGACAGTCTTACTTTACAAGAGAATACCTCTGGAGGTAAAAAAGTAGTCAAAAAGGTGGATAATGGTAGCAAGTTATCACAGTCTTCTACAAAGTTAACAAAAACAAAAAAACATTCCAATAACCAAGTGACAAAAGTATCCAACAAGCCACCACCGCTAACCGCTACTGAGGTTAAAAATTCTACTGATATACCCTCGTCTAAGGAATCAAAAAAATCTATGTCTCCTGGTGTAAATAACAGTACTACTACTACTGAAACAACAGACGATTGGGGTGATTGGTAGCCCCCTCCTGCCCCAGTGGGATGCATATACATACATACATACTCACACACGAATGGTTGCGTAACACGTGATATTTACACTTTGTAAATACTCCTCACCCATTATGGAGGGAGGGGGAATTCTGTGTATATTTATTTATTCATTTTTTGAGTTGATGAGTTGGGAATAACCGCATGGGCTTTGTATGCGTGCGTGTGTGTGTGTGAGGGAGGGAGAGTGCACAATGCAGTAAAACAGCTGTGTTCTCTCTCTCTCATAGAGACTTGTGCTTAGTTAGGCTGTGTGTGCAACTTCTCTTTCCGCTTTGCTTCATCACTTGTACGTATGTAATATCAAACATGTGTTTTAGACCACTCTATACTTTATCGAATTATTTTCAATATATTAACATATATATATATATTCATTCTTTGATAAAAAGCAAGTGCTTTCATGTATTATGCAACTTTTGCTAATGGTGCCTTATTATTCATATTATTATTATTAATATTATTACATATTATCGTTATTATTTCAGTATAGGAGGCTAATGGGAATATATTAAATAACTTATTTAGTTTATTTATTGATTGATTGATAAAGTGTCATTTTATCAACTTTATGTTTGTTTTTTTATTTAATTTTACTTATCTGTCGGTCAGCATCAAATCTATTCCGATTACGCTTTTCTTTTTAGTCACTTGTGTTTTCTAATCTCTTGTTTTTTCTAAGAAGTGAAAGCCGAAAAAGATTTAAAAAAAATTATACATAATTATGTTCCATAAACAGATTATCGCCATATTTTAATGGAGTAATAAGAAAAGAGAAAGTCGTGAACAGCGAAGCCAGCGTTCTTTTTTGGATCAATCATTTTTTTCACGGGTAGTTGTACAGTTGTTGTATGAAGACAATCTGCGACAACCGAAATCGGCTTGTTGTGATTTAAACTCAGGGAACTGATCTTTGCGTCCTACTGTTTTATATAGCTAGTTGACTAAAACTTTCTTAAGACACACACACACATACTGTCACGAAATGCTCCAAAGACAGGAAAAAGACAGTTATTCATTGTAAGATCTGTGTGGTGCTATTCAAAAATTACCTCAACGGTGCTGTACTTAGAATTAAGTAGAATATTCCTTACAAGGTGGGGGATCAAAATTCTCTGTCAGCAAGAATCATACACCAACCATTCCCGAAGATAATCCGAGGCCAGAATGACGTCGACGTACTCAAAGTAAATTGCAGTCGTAAAAACAACACATTATTAAACACCATCATCACAGAACCACAATGAGAAGCATTAAAATGAGAGATTAGACAGTAACATAGATAAACAATAAGGATTAAGTCAATATGTGATATATACCAATTTCAGTCCAATGATATACAGTCTAGGAGAAAAACGGATAATAATTAAGAAGTTATTTAATTCAATTTTTTGGATTTTCCCGTCGATTGATTGGACTGAAGTGCTGGGTCTCAGGTAGACATGTTGGTTTCTTGTGCAAGTGCTTCGACAATGTCTGGGCATGTAATTAGAAGTTATTTGGTGGATGGTGACTAGCAGTGGAGTCCAGGATGCGCATTTCGCCCCGAGACCGAGCACTTCGGTCCAGTCAATTAAATAATTATTATGACCCGTTGCACAAGACGTAGCCCAAGTGGTCTAGTGGACAACGCCTTGGCGTTTGAGACTATGGGCAATAGGTTCGAGCCCTGGTGGAATCATCATCACTCTTTGGGGAATGCAGGTGCATCCAGAAGACGAGTCCCAAGTAGGACGAAATGTCTGTCTGTTTTCGACATAGAACATTGCACCGATGTGCGCCAGTTCAAGTTGCCACACTCCCTCCATGTTGCACACAAACCAAGAGAAGAAATGCATATCAGAGACAGTAAACAGAGGTGTGAGACAAAGGAATAGTAATAACGAAGAACAAAACAGTTTCATTGGAAATCATAAGTCACAAGGAGTGGACGCATCTGCTTTAGCCACTGAGAACGATTTTGAGCCATGTCACCAATAGTTTCCAACCATTGGTTTTTACTGTCCCAAGGACCCCAACCAGGAATTCTACACCTTCCTACGTGACTGGCTTAAACTAACTGTTGTGGATTTCATTGACTGATGAAGTCATGTTTTTGTTTGACCTCCGCTAGCTTCTTTCCAGCCTGACCCTATATCCGCTAACACTGCCTGTCGGTCGAGGAAGGTGATGACTAGGCATGCGTAACGCATGTCCTAACCATCTCAGTCTTTGTAATTTCGCAACTTCGTCGATTGATTTTCCCTCCTTACCTAGCACTCGACTGAAGCCTAACCTCAATATTGCTCACCCTATTATGCCACTTCACACGGGAGATAGAACGCAGGCACCTATGAAATGCGCACCATGGATTCCACTTCTAGTCACTATCCACCAAATGATTACGAAGTTAGCTGAAACGTCCAAATAAGTATAGGTATTGTAATTAGATCGTTTAGGAGGGATTTATCAAACAATTATACCGTTACATAAATATCACGAGATGATGTTATTTCGTAGTTTCTTTGCGACCACTTTACAACTAGCATCACAATAAAATAAATTGTATGAACAATTACTCAGTTGTATAAAACCAAAGTGCATATTAATAACCAATCATATTTTTATTAGGTCAAGTAGTCTTTGGTAGATAAACCTGAAGTTTATTGTTGTCTGCGCATATAGTTTAGGATGTATGTGATTAATCCAAAGTACCACGATCACCTTTAATAACCTTGAATAAGAGTTATGTGAAATAAGCAACTGATATTGATTTTGTGACCGGAAATTAATAAGTGTATTGCAATGGATTGCTGTTCAGATTAAGTGTATTAGTAGCCATTTAGGAACTTTTTCTTTCTGATGACATCCTAACATTTTACTGGTTCTACCTATATGTGTGTCCCGTCAAATGCGTGGGAGTGGATATCATGTCTTTTGACGGCTAACTTATGATCGTGGATACGAAGACGAAGGGGACGTCCACTTTGGCCAATTTTGTGTTTTTCGCAGTTGTTGCAATTTATTTTTTAGATGATGTTGGTTTTATCTTCTTTCGCTGTTGAGTCTTTTGGTTGATATAGAATTGAGTGAAGCGACTTTGTTGGTTTGTGTACGACATCAATTCCTAAAGGTTTGAAGAGTCTTGTAGTGATTTCTGAGATATTCTTTATGTATGGTAAGGCGATTTTCTTTGTGTTTTCCTTGGTGGCTTTTGCTTTGGTAGGATGGCTTGGAGGTATATGTTTTTTGATGAAATTCCGTGGATATCCACACCCTCATATCAACACACACAGACAATCACGGACATCAGTTCGACTGGGACAACGTTCACATATTAGACAGAGGAAACAACAAGAATGCTAGAGAACTTTTAGAAGCTTGGTATTCCAGTGAATCATCAATCAATACACACATAGAGATAGACAAAATTTATCAACCGATAAGAAAGAAACCGCACACACACAAACAAAGGGCCAAAGTTCAAGTCAAAGAAATAGTCAGTTCCAATACAAGTAACCTAGAAGATGTGAAAACACACATAAACAACCAATCATGTCCAAGGTTACCAAGAGAGATGATTAATAAACTCGTGGAGAAATCTAATAGCTCACTTCATGAAATTGAAGTATGCGCTGAAGATGTCACCCAGTAGGGTGATGAAAGCTTCGCAAATTAACCATCCAGCTCAGAGAACAAAACCACATCAAAATCATCCACCTGAGCTACAAATCTTCTCTATCATATCTAAATGCGGATGAACTTGTAGATACAGTGTGAAGTAGAGTCGATAGAATTTCATCGTCTAATCGTAAGTACAGAAATTGAAAATATTCTAGATGTAAGGAAAATAGATTCAGCGTAGAATATGCTCTTGACAGCTGACCGAAACCTTTCAGCTGTCAACTGCATGATTTGACCACCCTTGAAAGGCAGTTTAATATGAGGAAAGCTTTCTTCATTACGGGGACTTTCTTTTCTGAATATCCATTAGCCAGTAAGGATGAATGTATGCGGTGTAGTTCACCTCTGTTAATACGTTGCGCGTAAAAATCACACGGACCCTGGAGAACAGGCATTTCACTGGGAAACGTTTATACCGGATAGGAACAAAACTGCTGAAATGAAGATATTGTCCGAAGAATTCATAGGACTGGTAAATTTGTTTTAGAAAACTTATTATATAGCCTGAGGTGTGATCTAGAAGGGGATGACTAATCAGAAATTACAAAAAGGAGCAGAAGTTGAAATGACGTAATAAGCGTGAAAATGACTAGTCAATATAAATGTGCAAAGTGAACAAAAACTAGTGGAAGGACGATAAAGTGTTTTTATAAAATCTGTATAAAAATAATAAACAGTTTCAGAGTGACTGTAAAATAAGAATAGTGATAATAGTAAACTTACTCCTCATTGTGGTAAGAACGTTACTCTAACTGTAGTAAGGCTAGTGAATGCATTCAGTACGCTTGAACCCCTTGGGGTCCTGAAGAGGTAATGAATGATTCAGCTATGTATAGATGGCATTTTCGTAGGATATTGAGGCATCAACAACAAAATTCAGTCGGATTTTCAATACAAACGTCAAGTCAGTCAATTCTTCTATACGGATCAGAAACTCAGCGGGCGGGTCACAAAGAATATTTCCTCCAACAGGCTATTGCAGACCTTTATCAACAACTGTCTTCGCTCTGTAATGAAGATCAGATGGCCGAGCCGGAAAGAATCACTAGCAAGAAACTATGGGAACAAACAAAACAAGAACCAGTCGCCAACCAACAAATATGCAGGAGAAAGTGGAGATGGATGGATTGGACACTCGCTCGCTGAGGAGGCAGGCCGCTAGGTAATATCACGCGCGCGCCAGGCCATTGCTCGAGTGGAACCCGAAAGGGAAACGGCGGCGAGTGGGACGTCAGTGCAAGGATGGGTGACATGGAGGAGATCGTGTGAATAGAGAGGAGTTGAAAGAGTATGCACTAACATGGATGCAGGTGAAAAGTACAGCAAGAGGAATACAGAAGCAAGTGGAGACGTTCATTTGAAGCCCTATGTTCCACTAGGAACCCAAGGGAACAATAATAATGAAGCAGTCATGAGGGGGTGCCCGATGTTGAAATTGACATGGTCTTTGATGACAGAACGATAGCTACTCTTCTTTTCTCCTCTGGCTAGTCAGACTGGACAGTGTTCCATAGCATTTTTGTGGTTCTGACGTTGTATACGGCCGATATACTTTACTTCACAGAGAAAAATACACACTGAGGTGGTTAAGAACAATATCTTTTTCTTAACGCCTGACTGGATTAATTGTCTGCTGTCTCCAGGTGCCGAATAGACAATTAGTCATCCCCTTTTAGATTACTCCTTACATTATGTAACATTTTCTAGAATAAATTTACCCGTATCTGGTTAGTTTTGTGAATTCTTTCTTAAATATACATACGATTGCACAACTGTTCTTGGAAATGATTCGTTGAAAAGAAGATTTTATTCTCTTTTTACGTCTTCTTTTTATACTTGAATGTATGGTTCGCTCCTCGTTTCGCTGTCAGGGGTAGTTATTTTCTTCTCTCAAGATTGTTAATTACTCAGTTTTTAACACTCAAGAAACTAACATAGTTATCGACAATAACATTAGTACCAGTTCCCATTTAGTGTAGAAGATTTGTGGGTTGTTTTGTCTTTGATGTTGTTGTGTTGTCTGAGCTGGCTAGACTTTTAGTGAGGTTAGTGTTCAGAGATTATAGCAAAAACCGAAATATTTTGGCTTAATCTCACAGTAGGTTGGAACTTATATATCCAAGTTTGATAAAGAATTGCCTTCAGTTAAAGAACCATTGAAAACCAGGGAGTACTGAGCACTTCTTTCCTCTTGGTCTGGGACTCT